CCAGATTGGGGCTGATTCGAAGGAGATTTATGGTAGTTCAGGGTTTAGAGGGGTGCGAGGATTGTAGGGTGTGAATTTGGTGGCATTTGGGTGACTTAGGGTTTTGAGGTTGAAACTCAGATCTGAAATCCGGGGAGTTTGAGAGTGTTTTTGGGGAAATTGATGTTGGATTCAAGAAGAGGAGGGGACAGGGGTTGTATGGTATCGTTTTGGGGAGGTTTGGAGTATCGCCGCCGCCGTGAGGCAATTTCCGGCGGCGGCCAGCGGCGGTGTTTCAGAGAGGTAAGAGAGAGATTGGGAGAGACGAACTGAGGGAGCTTTTGGGGGGTAGGGGGTCAGTTTCGGACACTGATATAGTAAAGGGCTATTTAGTTCCCAGCCGTTAGATCCAAAGTGATCAACGGCTGGGATCAAAACAAAGTGATACGACGTCGTTTTGGCTATGAAAGGAGTAGACCGGGTAAGGCAATTTTGGACCTGGGTTTGGGAACGGGTTTGGGGTTAATTTTGGTTATTGAAACAACCCAATTCAATTAAAACCCCTTCTTTCAAATTCTCTTCTTATTTTCCTTTTTTTTTCTTTTTCTTTAATTAAAAATCCTATATTAAATTCCTAAATTAATCTATTTATAAAATTAAACTAATTACCTAATTATAATAATTATAAAATTTCTTGATCCTAAATTAAAAGAGAAAAAATCAATAATCTAAAAATTAAAAGGTAAAAAATATAAAATGAGCCATTTTTGTGATTTTCAATTTTAATAGAATAAATAATTAACTAATTAATCCTAAAAATGTAAAACAAAACCTAAACGCGATGCATGGTATTTTTTTGATATTTTCATTATTAAAATAAAAATAAAATATAGAGAAGGAAAAGAGCAATCAGAAAAAAAAAAAACATGGAGAAGGCAAAGAGCAATCAGGCAGTTTATAAAAAAAATTAACATTAACCCTAATTATTCTAAATTCGATATAATCGAGATTAAACTACAATATTCGGCATGCTTCAATTGACAGATGAAACCAACAGACAATACTAATTAAAAGGAAAACACTGTCATTATCTAAGTCATACATGCTAAAAGAAAGAAACAAGTGGAAGAAAGCAGAAGATAGCATAAAGAGAAGAAAAGAAAGAAAGAAAACAGAAAATGGAAAAGAAATTACCTAGGGCTGTTTCGGACTGGACCCGTTAATGAACTTTTGAAAGAAGAAAATGTGAACTTATACAACCATTAATTGATTGTTCTTAACAAGAACAGTCAATTAATGGACATTTTGGGTTCACCCGCTCCAACAAACTGACCAAGAAAGGAAGAAAGAAAATTTAGGTTTTTTCTTTTTTTTCCCGAAATTCTTAGATTTAAGATTCGACCAGATTGGGGCTGATTCGAAGGGGATTTATGGTAGTTCAGGGTTTAGAGGGGTGCGAGGATTGTAGGGTGTGAATTTGGTGGCATTTGGGTGACTTAGGGTTTTGAGGTTGAAACTCAGATCTGAAATCCGGGGAGTTTGAGAGTGTTTTTGGGGAAATTGATGTTGGATTCAAGAAGAGGAGGGGACAGGGGTTGTATGGTATCGTTTTGGGGAGGTTTGGAGTATCGCCGCCGCCGTGAGGCGATTTCCGACGGCGGCCAGCGGCGGTGTTTCAGAGAGGTAAGAGAGAGATTGGGAGAGACGAACTGAGGGAGCTTTTGGGGGGTAGGGGGTCAGTTTCGGACACTGATATAGTAAAAGGCTATTTAGTTCCCAGCCGTTAGATCCAAAGTGATCAACGGCTGAGATCAAAACAAAGTGATACGGCGTCGTTTTGGCTATGAAAGGAGTAGACCGGGTAAGGCAATTTTGGACCTGGGTTTGGGAACGGGTTTGGGGTTAATTTTGGTTATTGAAACAATCCAATTCAATTAAAACCCCTTCTTTCAAATTCTCTTCTTATTTTTCTTTTTTTTTCTTTTTCTTTAATTAAAATTCCTATATTAAATTCCTAAATTAATCTAATTATAAAATTAAACTAATTACCTAATTATAATAATTATAAAATTTCTTGATCCTAAATTAAAAGAGAAAAAATCAATAATCTAAAAATTAAAAGGTAAAAAATATAAAATGAGCCATTTTTGTGATTTTCAATTTTAATAGAATAAATAATTAACTAATTAATCCTAAAAATGTAAAACAAAACCTAAACGCGATGCATGGTATTTTTTTGATATTTTCATTATTAAAATAAAAATAAAATATAGAGAAGGAAAAGAGCAATCAGAAAAAAAAAAAACATGGAGAAGGCAAAGAGCAATCAGGCAGTTTATAAAAAAAATTAACATTAACCCTAATTATTCTAAATTCGATATAATCGAGATTAAACTACAATATTCGGCATGCTTCAATTGACAGATGAAACCAACAGACAATACTAATTAAAAGGAAAACACTGTCATTATCTAAGTCATACATGCTAAAAGAAAGAAACAAGTGGAAGAAAGCAGAAGATAGCATAAAGAGAAGAAAAGAAAGAAAGAAAACAGAAAATGGAAAAGAAATTACCTAGGGCTGTTTCGGACTGGACCCGTTAATGAACTTTTGAAAGAAGAAAATGTGAACTTATACAACCATTAATTGATTGTTCTTAACAAGAACAGTCAATTAATGGACGTTTTGGGTTCACCCGCTCCAACAAACTGACCAAGAAAGGAAGAAAAGAAAATTTAGGTTTTTTTTCTTTTTTT